GCCGCCCTTTTCTATAAGATGCTACCCAGCCGCACCTTTACACCAAAAGGAGAAGCATGCACAGGAGCCAAGCAGCGCAAGGACGGGATCACTATTTGTTTTGGAGCTAACGCTACGGGTGAAGAGAAGCTGCCCCTTCTGCTTATCGGGAAAGCCCAAAAACCCGTGTGCTTCCGCCATGCTCGCTTGCCAAAGGGGGTGATCTACCGAGCCAACAAGACTGCATGGATGACGGCGGCGCTCTTTGAGGAATATGTGCGTGCGCTGGACCGCAAACTAGCAAAGGAGAAGTGCAAAGTACTTTTCATTGTGGACAACTGCCCAGGACATGAAAAAATTGACAATCTCGAGGCGATACAGTTGGAGTTCCTGCCCCCGAACATGACCTCTGTTCTCCAGCCAATGGATCAAGGAGTTATCGAAATAACTCGAAAGCTGTATAAAAAAAGCCTCCTCCAACGAATTTTGTTGTCCTACGAGACTGTGACTGGAAAGGGGTACGAAGTCGACCTCCTAGGTGCGGTTCACCTCATCGAGCACTCCTGGAAACAAGTCATGCCAGTGTTGATTGCGCAGTGCTTCAGGCAAGCGGGGTTCTCTCGCACCCCAAGCCCGCCGGAAACACAGGCTACGCCGGAGTTCAATAACTGTGATGGACTCTGTGAGGAAGTGCGCCGTCTTACCGGTTCTGCGGACAACGAAGCAGGCAGTGACGTCAACTTTGAGGGGTACGCTTTGTACGAGAGTGATGTCCCAGTGACTGGTGACAGGACCGATGCTGAAATTATCCAGGCAGCTCTGGGCAACGTGGACGACAAAGAGGAGGGCGATGAACCACCTCGAGAGATTCCGACGTCGGCCGAGACGCGGAACTTGCTGCATCTACTCCGGAACAAGGTCGAGTGCAGCGGCGGTGAGAAACGAGTGATGCGATCCTTGAAGGTGCTCGAAGATGCTCTTCTGGCACCGAATGTGAACGCAAAGCAAACGGATATCGCGACGTTTTTCAGTGCCCAATAAGTGAGTGGAAGAAATAAAATGTTAAGCCGTGCAGTTAGCTGCTTGCCGTTTTTATTGCAAAGGCGCATCACAACAGCTCACAGCTCCATGACACTCCCATTGCATGTAACAGGTACGCTTGTTTCTAATTCATTTTTTCTCGTTTTAGTAAGTGATTTCTTGCTCAAAAACGAAGCTGTGATTGGTATGATTTTCGGAAGCGCTAGATTTTCGAAATCCGCGGTCGGTACTTCGGAAATTTTGGTACTCCGCTTATCTCGAAATTTAGCTTATCTCGCAATTTTTGCCGGTTTTTAGGACTTTGAGTTAACGGGGGTTTACTGTACTCACCGGTGGTGTTTCGGTGCGTTCCCAGTGCCAGGGACCTACCTCTCGCTGCCTCACTTCCAGATGTTTTTGTGTATGTGCCGACAGGCACAGTACGGCATTGGCGAAGGTGTGGCCCGGCACCGCCACCATTTTCCATAGTGCTGTTTGAGGTACTTTTGTCCCGACTGCAGCTTCACTCTCAGGTACCCATTTTCGGTCTTCCACTCTATCTTTTGCCCTGAATGTCCACCCTTTGTGACAGCTGCGTAGGGGCATCCTCTGTTTCCTGGGTGTCCCACTGCTCCACCCCTGCCCCAAGGACTCCAGACTTGCTGGGGTTGAACATTAGCCCCAGGGTAATTCCCTCTTCTCCACAGGTGTCGAGCGATTTCTGAAGCTCCTCCAGGGACCCCACCATAAGCACCAGATCATCTGCATAAATCAAGGCAGGGATCCTCTTATCTACTTGCCTCCCCTCTTCACCATAGCACATCTTGAAACCTAAGCGACTGTCCTCCAGTGCTCCCTCTCTCGTCTTGCAATATACAACATGAACAGAAGTGGTGAAAGTGGGCACCCCTGTCTCAGTCCCCTTGTGGCCTTTATTGGCTCGGTGAATTCCGTCCCCCACTGAACCACAACATTGTTTTCTGTATATTTCTTGGAGTAAGTCCCTCCATTCCACAGGCATTTCCAACTCCTTCAATACTGTCCATAGCAGCGAATGGTTCGCAGCGTCGTACGCCTTGGAAATGTCCAAGAAGCCGAGGTATAGGGGCCTCTGCTCATGGTTGGCGATCTGCATGGCTTGTGTGATTACGAACAAGTTGTCCTCCAGCCTCCTTCCCTTGCGGAATCCTCCTTCCCTTGCGGAATCCTATGTGTGAGCGAAGCCAAAGTTGCCAGCATAAGAATGCAGCCTGAACAACGCCTGCACTGCACGAGCGAGCATGCAAGGCAAGGATGCACAAAGCTTTGGGTTCGTGCTTGTAGCTTTAGCATCGCTCACATATGCGGTGAAACAAAGTATAGTTACACTTGCTGCACGCAGTCTTCTTGTATGTAGAAAAGACAACATAAATAGCTAAAATAGGCTAACAAAGGATGTGCACAACATTTCATTTTCTTTTCAATATTTGTTTAAAAAATGATTACTGCTGCTGATGCCGGAATGTGCACCACTTCAGACTCTTGCGTGCACTTTGATACTTGGAAATTTAGCAAAATGTATTATAGGTGGCTCTATTGGAGATAATTTCTAGTGGAGGTCATTTCCAGGCAAGCAGGTTCAGATGTCTTATTGCATGACCCTTCCATACTTTTTGTAACCTTTTTTTTCCCTAGAAGTCGAGATTTTTTTTTCAGACTGTTTTTTTTTGGCTGCTTTGAATTTTTCAAAATCAGTATCTCGAACACATTATTTTGCAGAGGTAGGAAAAGCGTGAAATAAATGTCAGTTCATATCTCTGCAAAAACTATGTTAATTTTAATATTCTACAAGATCAGCTGCATTTTTTTAGATTACATGTTTTCACACCACTGCTAGTGCCCCTACACACTGTGATGTTAATCTAGCTGAGATCATCCACTGATTCATAGACAAATTGATTACAGAGGGACAGTAGTCGGGTTTTTTGTTGCAGTCATGCTCAGTTGTGCCTACGTATGTATGTATGCGGCAGGAAATGCATGTTCCCTCACCTTTAGAAGTGGCATATCCTTATCTTTGTTAGTTATCTGGAGCTGTCTTCACTGGTACAGTTTCTCCAGCCTCGGCAGAAGCTCAGAAAAGTAGAACCTATGAAGGCATGCCGTCCATGTCCGCATTGAGGCTCCACACATGAAAAAAAATATCCTGCCGACCCGTACAAAACAACTGAAATTGCACTTGACTAGCGAATCCTCGTGACCCATTCTGTGTGATGAAGTACCCATCTTTCTCATTGCTTCGCACGTCGTAGGTTCTATCCTTGGCCAGCTGTTCAGTCATTTGTGTTTGGGCACTTGATCTCCAGGAGTACCTGTTACACAGTGCCGTCTGGCGTTGCCGAAAGTCACGAAAAGTCTTTAGACACAAACATGCCACACCTTGTGACAGTCATCCCATAGTCTCTAACAAGCTGCGCTCATGCAACTGGCTTGTGGCGTTGTCCGTTCCTCATGGCGGCATTGCTGGTGAATGTCGGGCACACCATACTAGTTGCGCTCTTCTCACACGGGGTTGTTGACTTCTTCGGTACTTTATACACATTTGATGCGGTTAGCCGAGGCCGCCGTGCCACAAACCAGGTTGGCGTCTGCTGACTTCTTGTAGCCTCCTAGAGGGCTGTAGCAGCTGTTGAGGTCATGGCAACATGGTCTGCATAGAACCTGGTGCATGGCTTACAGCTTGAAGGCAGGTCATTTGTGGCAAGGTGGCTACCGTGGCACGGAGTAGTGGCATCATTGGCTGTGACTGGCTTCTTCACGCTCTGGGGCATTGAATGTGTCGTACAGCAGGGTTCCTGGGAGAAATAATGCAATCTATGTACAAATGGTTTAGGTTACGAAGGATGGAAGCAGCTGTTTTGAAGATATAATTTAATTTTTGTTTTACAAAACTACTGAACAGGAATTGGTCGACAGCTGAGTGTAAAAAAAGACTGACATTGGCTCCATGACAGGCCTTAAGCTAATCTCTGCATTGTCATTTAAATTCTAATATTTTATGAGGTGGCAATGTATTATATCATGCCACTTTTATTCATCTCTCCCAGTAGTCTCTTTGCACCCTAATTTTGTTTAATGTTTCTTTTTTTATTACAGGAGTGTATTTTAAATGCATGTGTTTCAATTTGTATGTTTCACCTCACGAGGGGTCTACGATGTGGCACGAATGCTTAATTGTGTACCATTTTTTGGGTGAGACAGTGCGTAATGATTACTGAATGGAATCATCACGCAAAAGTGAATAATAGCAAATAGTACTATTTACTTGTCTTGTTTTTCTATAAATCAACTAGTACTGGGATGCAGTCAATGATCCTTTGTGCAATGGCTCTTTTTAGCCTTCAGCACTATGGGTTTGACATTTGTGCAGGACTAATGACAAACAAGTGTACATTCCAGTTAGTCACTGCAGATCTGTTATCAAACTAGATCTTCAGTGTGGCTTCCATGCCTTTGACTTAGAGTTATAGGTACAATAAGAATTATCTTTCGAGACAACCAGGCTTACCTGGTATGTTGAAAAGGTCTCGGAATGGTGAACCCCTTGAAATGCTGCCAGCTCCTCTGCACCCATGGGCATCAGCAGTGGTCGAAGCGGCAGCTTGCCTGGTGCTGGATCCAGAGTCCTCTTCTGGAGGTTAAATGTGATGTTGCTGAGTCTGGCCGGCACAACACTGCACTTTGTTCCTTGGTTCCATTTTGCTGCAATGTCTGTGCATGCAAAGCCTGTCAGCGCTCTGGTTACAGTATGGTCCACTTTCCAGAGAATTGCGCCGACATGGCTGCACACCCTTGCTTGGCCTGCCATGCAGGTGCAGCCAGCTGTCAGCACCTCGCCACTGTCTCTGGCACAGGCACAGGCAGTGTGGGTGGTCTGGTTGACACTCTGCGAGGGTGTTACTTGTCCCTTAACATAGCAAAGTTCTGCATCGATCTGGTGAACTGAGAGCTTTCCAACCCAGCCACTTTGCAGGTAGTTGTAGGACTCTAAGCTTCGATGGGGCTTCACGTCTTGGAGGTCGCATGCCTTTGTGTTCACCAGGTAGTAAATTACATCTGGCAATGCGACCGAAGGCCAAAGGCGTATGTCTTCGGATCAGCTGGTGATTTTATCTGGGTGAGGGTAGGTGCGGTCCTCTGGAATAGAAGATAACCACTGATGAGTGTACCGCTTCGTGTTATCAAGAAGCCCAGATCTCCAGCTTTGCTGGGACCTTGTTTCACCCTCCTCCATTAAAGGCATTCTGTCATAGGCAGGCCCCCTGAAACAAAATCCTGGCTACGTGCCTGTGTGTAATGTGCCTGTTTGACCTGTGCCTGTGTGTAAAAAAACCAATGAGACTTGCCGTTGTGAATACGTGGAAAATTTTACGAAAATGCAGTGCTGCAGGAAAAAAGAACAACTCGTCGAAAGCAAGTTTCGCCAGTCTCGTGGAGGAATCACAACTTCCTTTGCATGCTGAAGCGCTGCGTCTCTGTGCCTTCGCACGCTTGGATACTGATCAAGAATCGACGCCGTGTGGAAGTATTTTGCGAATAGTCCTGTACACAATACTAAAAAAAGTAATCAATTACAATTACTATTACTCTTGGCTAAAAAGTATTGATAAGATTACTTGATTACTCGACAGCAAAAGTAATTGGACATTATTTTAAGGAGTAACCATTACTTTTTCAATTACTTTATTGTGTGAAGACATCTTTAGCACTCATAACAATGAACTACTTCCAACCTATATTTCACATTTTCACGAGTATTGAAGAAACAACGGGTCCCTTCTTTGCGGTCGTTGCACCTTCACAATGCAGACTTAAGCATAGAATTGTTTGAAGAAGTTTAATGATTTGGGTGTTCGCCAGTTTGGAGGAGGGGGGGGAGCGGGAGCGGAGCGGGAGCGGAGGGGGTTCTAGATCTTGTTAAGCTTAAGCGAGCGTTGTCGCTCAAAGTTTGCATCGCTCTTCTTTCCACGTTTTCTTGTGAATATGTCTGCTGCTACGCTGAAAACCCTCTCAACAGACTCGCTGGATGGCAGACAGTGGTGAATCTGAGGAACACTTTCTGAAGGCAAGGGAAGTCCTTCAGGAGGTCCGCTGTATTGTCTTGGGAAGTCAAGTACCGGGGCACTTCCCCACTGCCGTTAGTTGTCCCCATAACAGAAAAGTTAAAGAAATCTATGCCGGGGGATAGTACGCAGTCATATTTTAAATTCTCGATTCTGGTTCCCCGTAGCATTGGCGGTTCACCTTGTCCTTGAGCAGTTGCGTTAACTCCTGCCGCCTGGGATCGCCATGGACCCATCCCACTTTGAATTGGGGGAGCACAATGGACGCTAGTAGCAGTCCTGGTCATCCTGCAGATGATTGAACCTGTATAGACAAACAATTGCATCCAATATGTAACCGTATTGTTGAACACAAAGTATATAACGCTTTCTTTGAAAGCATACCTGTTCCGGATGCCATTAAGAAGTGCATTCACCAGCGGAGCAGAAAACTGCAAGCCTGCAACCAAAAGCTCATTGAGCCACAGCTCCAGGATTGTGATGGTCAGCGGTAGGTTCCCCACAAACATGTGATCGTCCTTTTGAAGGACATCGATTCTGCAGGCAAGGGGCTTCATGACCTGGAGAACATGAGATATTAGGTAAAGTACTTATACACACAATGCCTAATATTGATATGACGGTAACTCATCACCAAAACACTTCCTCTTGTGGAGCATACAATAATAGCTACGACGCTATTACCTTGCAGTACTTCCTGAAGAGTAAGTCATGTGGGAGCTGGAATTGCAGAACTTGCAAGGTCCTGCACAATCTTTCGAGGTCCTTGCCGTCGGCATCTAATTTGAGTACACACACTAGTGAATTGTAAAGTGAGTTCCACCGCGTTGCTACAGACCTAGGTAGTCTCGGCAGCAACCGTCGACTGTCCTTGTTTATTTCACAAGGCACGACATGTGCGCAATGCGGACCGGAGAGGTCTTGCAAAGAGTTCATGGTTGAGTTGAGAGTGTGCGCGGAGCACCGATGGTCAAGGGGAAGACGGGCCTCTCCCTGGCCCACGTTGTCGAGCAGCGGTGCTACTTCTACGAGTTCCAAGCATTCCCCTTCCTGCTCCGAGAGCTCCACGTCTTCAGGGTGCACAGGCGTGTTAGAAATGGCTAATTAATAATCAACGAAAGAAATTTAGCTAGTACGCCACGCTCAGTCAAACTGCATTCGCGCTGGCTGGGCTCTCAAATTGCAACTGCTTCACGAATTAGGTTAGACAGCCAGTGTGTATTCAGTTTCAATAATGAGGGGGGCAGAGGGACAAAATGAAACATGCAGCACACTATTACTTTATATTGTAAATATTACCTGAAGGCCCTTACAAAGTTTGACCCATTGTCTGTCATGACCTTTGCAACTTTTCCTTGAAGCGCATAGCCCTTGAACATCTCCAGGAGGACGTTTGTGATCTTATCGTACGTCACCTTGCCCGTCTTTCTGTGGCAGAGCAGTACAGCTGAGTTTCTCTTCAGAGAGACTGGTTCAAGCCAAGAAACCGTCGCTGCCAAATAGCAACTGTGGAGGAAACATTTTTATGACTTTAAAGGGGCTGTGCAACAATTCTCGGGACTTCAGGTCGATAGGTGTGGGAGTTAATCCCTACCACCTGTGGAATATGGAACAGAAAACCGCTTTTCGATACGTGCCCGAGTTTTTTTTTAACAAAATAAAAACAGATTGAAATATGCGCCCCCCGCGGCCACTCTCAACTCTCACACCGTCTTTCCAATAATGTGGTCGTCACGTGGTTGTGACGTTTAATGGGGAAGTAAGTTTCCGGATTCGCTCGGTCCTCAGCGAGCGTTGCCATGGTTGCCAGCGTTGCGCTGCATCCGAGAGCGAACTCTTTTCCTTTCATCCTCCGCTGACCAAGATGGCATCTTGGAAGAACGGATTGAGCGTGAGATGTTCGTCTTTAGCGAGTCCGCTGGACTCGTTCCGTACGCGGGCACCCCGACGGAACGGGAGCGCGGCGTCGATGAGACGACTCTCCGCCCGATCCTGGCCCTGATCCAGAGGCATGGCGGCTTACCACCACGGCATGGTAAGTGACGCGCGTCTCATGTCACCACTTGGATATGCGGTCTCCAAGTAGGTGTCATCTAATGTCTCGTTCTAATCACAGGTGCTCGTGCAAAAGGTGCAGCATCATGCCGACATCACGAGAGTGTGTCTGCTGCCGCGAAATACCGCCTGCGGTCGTTACTCAGCCCGTGGGCTGCGTGACCGAGCACCCAGACTATGCGGCGATTTGTCTTCAGACTGGCGTGCTGCGTGTTGCCTTTTGGGCGCTGGAGGAGGCAGGGGATCACCCGACGCGTGGGGTAGAGAAGTGCATATTTCGTTTCAAATTATATTTTTTTTACGGAGCTGCCACTGATCGGCATGCTTTTTTCTGTCTTTGTTAATCTGGTTTTGATGCAGACAGGTTGCAACGGGCTCCTAATACTCGGGAGTTGACACGAGCAGAGTGTTGGCCATAATGACGTCCCAACCACTTTATTTTCTTCTCTGGTGTCCCAACTTCCCAGTTTTCATTTTGATGCTTGATTTTTCGCTTGACGTTTTGACTGGTTTCGCGGGCATCACAGGAACAGCGGTACGTGTACGGGCGGCTGACTCAGATTGCATTAAAAAAATTGTCAAAATTCCATATTGCAAGTGCATGAAATCGTTCTACTATAACTTTTACCCAATGTGACTGAGTGCGAGGAGGTTCCCACATGAGTGGCTGTGGTGCCAGAGAACAAGGTCATGCACAAACACATCACGACCTAAAAAGCAAAGCACTCAATAGACTGGATTTGCAAATTTTAAACATGCACTAGTCTAATCCGCAACTTCGCATCAATCTCCACCTTGCGGATTTATTCATATTTCAAAAGAACAGTGAACACCATACTTTTACAAAGCAAACAAAATACAATTGTTTGACATTTTTTATTATCTTTTGAGCAAAGGTACTGTTCTATGCATTGCTGGAAATATAATAAAAAATGGAAGACTCCAAGTCACATTCTAAAGATACAGTATAACATACAAGATAACTGGGGGCTATGTTCGACAAATGTTTCGTTTCTCCTAAGAAAAACAGAAGTGACGGTATCATGTCTGATTGGCTAGAGGCTCAAATGACGAAAATTTCCTCTTTCGGCATTTGAGCCTCTAACCAATCAGACGCGACATCGTTCCTTCCGTCTCTTTTTAGGAGAAACAAAACATTTGTTGAACTTGCACTAGCAGTTACCGATTTGCCCAATGACACACAGACAGAATTCTGAGCTGCCTAGAAGCACACCATCCTCTTTTGGTTTGCTATTTCTTAGTGGAGTTAGTCACCACCAACTAAATGCACTATTCCCAAAACAAAAAAACAAAAAACATACTACCTCTGTAGCTACTGCAGTTTCTAACACTCACATTTATAGTATTGTACTTATGCAATTCAGATATGTGACCATGAGAGCGCCCACATTCTGACTACCACTTTACATACTTTTGAATTTCAAGGGTAATTGACCAGTTTTCATTGTTTACCAATTTCCCAGGATGCGTTTCGTGGCCTACAGACAATTCGCTCGATGGATGTGGCACAGACTGGGACGTCGCAACAGGTCTGTCCTTCTAGCCTGTGTTGTCGGGAGGATCCGGGAGGAATTCCCATCGGAAGCCTTCACTATAAAACTGTACTCCACCTCACTACGCTGAAAATGATTGCATGTGAAATTATTGTGGTAAGGGCATTTCAATTGAGGCAACTGCTATGTACGGTATCTGCAGGCAAAATATTTCTCTTGCTGATGAGCTGTTCACAAACAGCCACTGGAATATAGTTGATAATTTCATATAGTGTATGACCTTCCCTGTCTGTCACTTGATCAGCTCCCTCCCAATCATGCCCTTTCCTTTTTTCTAAATTACTGGACAGCGGTGTTGAAAAGTGTCATTAATGGGCAAAAGGTGATGATCTGACAGGCAGTTAGTTAAGACAGTCAGGGCCTCAAAGGAAACCATGCTCGGCCCTGCACATAGCCCCCAGGCATTGTAAATATAGAAGCAGTCGCAAAGTGTAACCTGGTCGCCTGGAATTGCATTGAAATAAAACCATATGCTCCTTATATCAAGACGAGAGAGGGTCAACTTGCTGATAGACTTCCTGGTCGTCATCGCTGGGACTCGACTCAACATCCCCTGGTCCCATTCACATATATTTTTTGGGACCATTATTTGAAAACACTGATAGTCATGAAGAAACCATTTTCCAAATGGCTTGAGGTATCAGTTATGAACTCTATGCCATCCTGCAGTGGTTGCTGGAAAAAGCACTTTCTGTGTTGACCGTCGTGTCATACACTATTCGGAAAGTCCGCTTCAGTTTGTTGAACTAGCGACATTGCAGACGATTGTCGCAGACAAAGCGGTTGCACAACATGATACCCAAAGGCAGCATCAAAGGAAACACAGGGCATGGCACTGTGCCACCGCAGGATGGTACAATATCAGGACAAGAGGTTGACGTAAACAAGCTATGAAAACAGCAGACAAAAAAGGAGGATACTGGCATGACAAGATGACAACATTGCTACCACTGCCTTAGCACAGATAAAGCTGGTAGCTGCCTTTTCCTGACTGCGCTCTGTCGCTTTTCCAACAAACGGCGCAATTGAAGACGGCATGGAGCACAAGAGGGTGGTGCAAGGTGCACAGTATGAACCTGACTTACTGAACTTGGGATTGCAGGATGAACTAGCACCAATTTTGCACGAGCCGAGCTTTTTGCTAGCTCCAGCAATGCCATCTAAGTTTTGGGGGACACTGCGAACTGAAGTCGATCTGGGAGTGGTTTGCACTACCATCAGTGCAGTAACACTTTTGACGACTGGCTGCCACACCCTCCAAAGCTGGTTTAGAATGATTTGAAGTATGAGTTGGAACACGTGACTTCTAGTCCAGGATTTCGAGTCGGTCATCCTGGCTAAAAAGATGCGCAAGTTGTGAGGAGTGTCAGCAGTCAAGAGATCGAGGTTGTTTTCTCTTGTACTCAAGAGGAAGCGAGGCGGATATTAAATCTGACAATGTCGAGTAAAACACAGCACCACTCTATAACCGCAACCTTTATGTAATCCCCTATTCAATGCAACCTTTCAAGTTTTAATTCAATAAACAGTTAAATGCAACCAAATCGCTAATTGGTACCGCTAATGCTAGCACTTCAGAAGTATGATAAACTCCAAGAGAAGCAAATCATCAATTGGCCACCAAATACTTCACCATGACATGAAAGGGAACGAAGGATGTACAGCAGGCACCCAGAGGGGCCACTTCAACGAGAAACCATGGCGGCAACACAGTCAACTAAAGCAAAGAAGTGAGCCAAGGGACTGCAAATAGCCTGCCGGACGTACCTGAAGTCTCGATTCAGCCGCCAGAGGCGAATAACA